GTTAGGCTTTCCACTGGAAGAGGGACATTTTAAAGCCAGCATTTTGGACTGGTAGTCGAAGGCTACCACCTCGCCCTGCAGCCGCTGCTCCTGGCACGTCCGGCACGACACCTGGCTCCCAACGCTGAAGTACTCACCCGGAGGAGCCGCCATCTTGGGAGAGCAGCCGCGGCCGGCGGCGGCGGCGGCAGCAGCCTCTGCTCACATTTCTATAGCCGAAGTTAATCAGCCATGCCCAACTTCATGGGGGTAAACTCCCAGGAGAAGTATCCCGATGGGGGTAGTAATACCACCACACAACCTATGTTTGAGAATGGATCAAACATGAGTGAAAGAAAAGAGAAGTCAGTTAAAGCACACACACATTAAAAAAAAAAAAAAAACCCACATTTCACAACAAGGAAGAAAATATGGATAAAATTTTACAGTGCTTAGCACTGAAATGTGTCCTGAGACTTAACTGGCATTTGCTAACTAAGCAAATGTGTTGATTTTCTATTGCTGCCTAATAAACCACAAATAATTCAAATTTGTTCTCCCTCCTTCTCTATGGGTCAGGAGTCTGAGTGTAGGCTAGCTAGTTCCTCTGATCAAGGCCTTGCCAGGCTCAATTCAAGATGTCAGCAGGGCTGTAATCTCATTTGAGGCTCAGCTTTCTTTCAAACCCATTGGTTGTTGACATCTGTGGATGTAGGACTTGAGGTCCTTGGTTCCTAGAACTTCCTTCTGGTCCCGTTCACTCAGCCCTCTCCACACATGGCAGTTTGCTTCTTCAAAGCCAATACAAGAGCATCTGCTACCACTTCCTCTTGCTTCTTTTTTAAAAAGGGATGGGGATGTAGCTCAGTGGTGAAGCACCCTGGGTTCAATCCCCCATACGATTAAAAAAAAAATCACCCTGAATGGAGTATTTATGCTATTGTGACCCACTCTAAACTAGTTCCAGATAATTGTGCAAAACCATATATATACTAGAAGGACACACCCAATTAGCTGCTTGTTACTTGATGACTTTGTTCTGTCCTTGTGTTTTTCTATTTCCTGTAATGAATGTTAACTTTTAAAAAATAAAAGTTATTTTAAAAACCTGAAAATATGCCAGGCAAGGTGGCTGGCTAGGAAGGCCGAAATAGGAGGATCGCAAGTTCAAAGCCAGCCTCAGCAACAGCGAGGCACTAAGCAACTTTGTGAGACCCTGTCTCTAAATAAAACACAAAATAGGACTGGGAATGTGGCTCAGTGGTTGAGTGCCCCTGAGTTCAATCCCCAGTACCCCCTCAAAAAAAAACCCTGAAAATATACATATAAACTTGGTTCAAAAATTGACTTGTGGCTCAGTGGTAGAGTGCTAGCCTAGCATGCTTGAGGCACTGGATTCGATCCTCAGTACCACATAAAAATAAAATATTGTATCCTCCTAAAACTAAAAACTAAATATTTTTTACAAATTGACTTGAATTGGTAGTCATAGGGAACTCTCCCTGAGACCACCTATGGACTGAGGGAAACATGACTATGACCCAGGAGCAGTCATGCTGGAAATAGAAGCAACCTGCTCACAGGCTCCAATAGCACAGCAATTGGCCCCAGACTTTTCAAACACTGCTGAGTCAAAGAGCCAAGATGGTGGGGCTTCTGTCACCATCAAAACAGATTCCCCATGGTCCCTGCTCCTTTGCATCGCCAGCTCCAATTCACAGTCCTGAGAAGATACATCCAGATTGGCTGGACCTCCCTAAATAAAATGAAGTCTGAGAAAATGAGTAACTGTTCTATTTGGCTTCTGTGTGGGAAAGGGGTACAAATGCTGGACAGTCAGAAATAATAATATTGGGCTACAACATAGAAATAAGATAGTTTCAGGGTGGGGCTGGGGCTCAGTGGTAGAGCCCTTGCCTAGCACATATTTGGTACTAGGTTCGATCCTCAGTATCACATAAATAAATAAAAATAAAAGGTATTGTGCCCATCTACACTAAAAAATAAATTAAAAATAACTAAGACAATTTCAAACTGTGTGTATGCAAAATACAATAAAAAGGGTTGGGCTGGGGCTGTGGCTCAGCGGTGGAATGCTTGCCTAGCATGTGCGGGGACCTGGGTTCAATCCTCAGCACCACATAAAAATAAATAAATAAAGGTATTATGTCCAACTACAACTAAAAAATAAATATAAAAAAATAAAAAGGGTTAAGAAAGATATAAGCAGAGGAAATGGCACTGACACCCATACAACAGAATGCTTAGGAAATGTCTCTTTGAGGAGATGGTACATAAGCTAATGCCTAAAGGAGATGACATCAGGCATTCAAGAAGAAAAGGCCAGTGTGATTAGAGCACAGTGGACAAGGAGGGGGAGGTATAAGGTGAGATAGGACAGGCAGGCCTGAGTCACATGATTCAAGTTTTTGCAGCCACAGGAAGGAGTGAAGATTTTGTTCTAAGTGCTATGAAAACTTTCAGTCAAGGAGCATTTACAGTTAAAAAGACCCTCTGGGCAGTCTGGAAAATGGATTGTAGAGAAAAGGGAAGGGAAGTCAGGGTCACTCTTCCAATGTCTAGAGGGAGAGAGTTGACACCAGCCAAGCCCAGGTGGTGGCAGTTGGAAGAGAAAGGAGTAAGGATTCTAGACATACTTATAAAATAGAACAACCAACYGAGCTGATAGATTATATTTGAGTCATAAGGGAAAAACCAAGGATGGCACCAGGCTTCAGACCTGAGCAACTGGAGAAATGGTGGTGACATTCTTAAAGATAGGCAGCTGGGGAAGGAGACAAGCTGGGAGGGAGGTGTTGGAAATCAAGAGTTTGAATTTGGAATTAGGTGTCTGAGAGATCCAAGAGGAAATCCCAAATAGGCATTTGGCTCTGCAGCATGGAACCCAGAAGTAGATCTGTACATCATCTCTGGCTCCTCCATCTGCTTCTCCAACTGCTTCCCTCACTCTAATTGGCTACCAACTCATGGGCTTCCTCCTATTTAATGTCTCTGGYGTCAATGTGGCTTCCTCATTGGCTCCTTTCTGGAACGAGATATCAGTGCCACTGTTACAGCCCAGCCCTGACTTCAACCTCTCTCCTCAGAGCAATTGCAGCACTGAACCCCCTTCTTACATAAAAACCCAATAGGCTGGGGACTTACCTTCTCAGCCTCCCGGTATCTAGGGGTTCAGTTAATGTGTATATGCCTTTTCAGGACTGAGAACTGGAGTTGGACTGGCCATCCCCAAGGCCCTGTTCTCAGGAATCTTTTTAAAAGTAGAGCTGATCTCAAATAACCACCTCCCATTTATTCCACACACACACATATAGCCTGTCTCACTACTTGCCCTTCTCCCACTCACCCATATTGGGATTAACCACAAACCCCTACATCCCTCTTCTGAGCCTTTGTGCCTGTTATTCGTTCTCCCAAAATGTCTACCCATCCTCAAGGTTCTGCAGAGCTCCCACCATCATGGAACTCCCTGCCTCCCTCTGCTCCAGACCCACCACCAGAACTCTCTATCTCCAGCCACATAGATTACCTTCTGCTTTTTGTTCAGGGGCCCTAGATTCCCGAGCTTCTCCAAGCAAACTCAGCCCAGGCCTAGGCAACCTGGAGCTCCTAATAGTCCAAATTACAGGGGATTAAGGAGAAAAGTAATCATCTGGGACGGCTGAGGCACATCTGTAATCCCAGTGATTTGGGAGGTTGAGTCAGGAGGATTGCAAATTCAAGGCCAGCCTCAGCAACTTAGTGAGGTCTTGTTTCAGATAATCAAAAAAAAAAAAAAAAAAAGGGCTGGGGAGATAGCTCAATGGTAAGGTACTACTGGGTTAAATCCTCAGTGGTGGGGCGGGGTGGAGGCGAGGGAGAGAAGTATTCAAGAAATCCTGGCAGTGGCATTGGCTCAAGCTCCAGAGGATAGGAGGTAGGGAAGGGAGGGTGTGCTATTGCTCAAGACTCCCTCCCCCCATCCTAATGTCCCATCATCTCACCTCTGGAAGTTCTGTGCAATGTTCCACCCACACTTAGATTGCAGGGCAAGCTCTGCCCCTCTGGCTAGGCTGAGACCCCCTGAACATGGACAGAAGATTTGGAGAAGGATGAAAAGTGAAACAGACCCCTTCCTAAGATCAGGGACTTTCAAAAGCTGAGTCATTTTGTTTCTTGCTCACTTCCAGCTCCTTTCTGGAACAAGATATCTCAGCCTGTTCCAGAGCCCAGGGCCACCCTTCCACAGACTAGTAGCTACATACCCATGTGGGCCATACCTAGACACCCTCTGCAGGCCCCACAAGTCTGAGGTCCCATGCCTGGAGTACCACATCCTATTTTTCCCAGGCAGAGGATGCCCCCTGCAGGTCCTGGTGTAGTTGAGCTCCACAAAGGGATGAACTGAAAACAGCCGGAAAACAAACAGTTACCCAAATTACACAAGTGCCAACACCCTCAGCCACATGTCCCACACACAAACACAGGCACACAATCAATTACAGTCAATCACTCCCCTACATCAAGAACACACCACAGACATTTAAGCATATAATCACAATACAGATCTGAAGCACAGACACATATATGATTACACACACAGTCATAAGCACAAGGACAAACCTCTTCTCCTCAAGAGGTGTCTTTGGAAGAAATAGGTTGAGAAGCCACTTAGGAATCAAGGTATACACTGAGTGGTAAACTTGATAAAATAGGGTGGCTAAATTGCTTCTAGGTCTAATGAGGCCCACTGACTGGAGAACCCTTTATTTTGTTAGTCAGTAGAGTGGTTTTAAGTTTAGAACAGTGCAGGTAAGAGTTGGGGTAGGGCTATTTTTAAAGTTTCCAGGAGCTTAATCTATATAACTTACATGAAATCTTATTCTTAGAATTTGGATTCTTGAATTTAACAAGTCTGACTGAGCTCTGTCCTCACTGCATTCCAAAAACCTTAAAAAGAGGTCTCCTGCCGGGCACAGTGGCACACATCTATGATCCCAGTGGCTCAGGAGGCTGAGACAAGAGGACTGTGGGTTCAAAGTCAGCCTGAGCAATGGCGAGGTGCTAAGCAACTCAGTGAAACCCTCTCTCTAAATAAAATACAAAACAGAGCTGGGGATGTGGCTCAGTAGTTGAATGGCCCTGAGTTCAATCCCTGGTACAAAAAAAAAAAAAAAAAAGAGGTCTCCTCCTACTGGTAATACATGGAAGGTGGTGAGTAAAGAGGAGAAATGCCCCTAACCTTT